AAGGTTTGAGCCCATGCTACTCATTGTCACAGTCAGTGAGGATATCATTGATATATTCAGGCTTTGATTGTTTTATTGTAGGAGTAAAATGTCTACTTACCAACTGATCAGCAAGTAGCAACTAATATTATTTTGTCCAGTCATTAGTACTGATTAATTTTACATAGATTAGTTTGCAAAGTCTGCTAACTGTCTACTTTACTTCAAACTTCAAGATAGATCACAACTTTTAAAAAAACAGGTAGTCTATTACCAAATTTTCATTGTTGATTGGCTCCAATGAGCACGAAATTCAAGTCAAATAGGGTTTCTTGATGATCTCTTTCTCAGCGATTTAAGATTGAACACAACCACAACTTGCTGTAAAGTCGTTTAGATTAGTGATAATACTGGGACTTGATTGTTAGAATATGGTTAACGCCTATGATTGGACAATGTGATATAACTTGCTACTAAATGTCATAAGAATTTTTAAACGAACGTGAATAATACAATGATTTTTATTGAGATCATAAACCGGTTGATGTTAGACCACTGTTGGAAACCTAGAAGCACTGGACGACTGTTTCGTCCTATTGTGGGACTCCTCAACAGTGCACATCCACGATCTCGCTCACGGGCTTCGAACCCAGGGCCTTCATTCTCGGTTCATGAACTCAATCAAAAACTTAGTAATCTCCACAACCCCTATACTGGTAACTATAATGGCATAATGACTTTAAGACATTTTCTACTCGACCAGATAAATAATCATGTATTTGTCATTCAGCATTACTCACTAATTAGTACAACCTGTCTTGAATGACTTGAGTCATTAATTATTAATATATCGATTAGCATTCTTCATCTACATTCTTGATATCAACTGTTTCTTTAGTGTACCCTAAATCACATCTTGGAAACCGTTAACCCATTGAATTTTGAATAAAAGTACACTGGTATTTAACGGTTACATTTCATCATATAAAATAAATCTACTGATATAAAAACAAAAAGCGATCAGTTTACTTAAAGTATTCGCCTAATTTTATTCACTGCTGAATAAATTTCATTTCAAAGTGGGAAATCTACTAAGATCTCCCACAATAATAAAATCAATTATCAAATAAAAAATGATCAAAAATATAGTCACTTAATGTAAATATATTGTACAGGTCAAATATGCATATTATCACTTTACTTTTATCTATTTTGTAAATGTTTGTGTAGTAAATTAGGTCAGTTATACTCGTTTAAATATGACTTGATAAATTTTGAAAGATATCCGCGTCTATTTTTTTTTTTACAAATTAGCCAAGATTGTGATTAGTTTCGAATTGGTTAACATGGGGTGTGGGTCTATTGTGTCCATGTGTGTCGAATTTCAACTTATACTACAATTTATTTATTATTGAAACAAATCTATGTTGTTGTTGTTGTTTTTTGTCTTACATTCTACAACATACATTAACTTTCACATCTACTGTTCCTTTGGAATGATCTATGTCTTTTGTTGTTTTTTTAATTCTGTCAACTGGTTAATTCAAAGTTTAATAAATTTCGACATAAAACAATTGTATGTGTATAGTTGTGTATCAAACGTATGGATACTAATGCTATGTGATATTACAATGTGTGGAACTCGATATGCTAACGTGACAAGATTATCTATGTATAACAATTAAGACAAATACCCACCCATATACTATTTTATAACATATTCACTATACAAACATGTATGTAAGCATATCTACCGTTTAAGTGAAATTAAATCATTACTGTTGTTTGTTGTATCTCTATGTATATCACCAATTTTTGACAATATTTGTTGTTCTCTCTTTTTTTTAAGAGAGAAAAAAAGTCACCAAAAGGTTTCACAAATTTCTTCACAAACATGTAGGTGTTTCACAATAATGAACATATAAACTGTCTTCAGTTTATATAAGTTTGAATTGATTTATTATTGGTGTTAATTCATTGTATACTGTTAGAACAATGACGAAAAAAATGAAACAATGGAATTATTTACGTTTTCTTTTCTTTTTCTTTAAAAAAACACGAATGATGAATTTAGATTGGACAGATTTCTGTTAGTGTATTGAGTAAACTTTTAAATAAGTTGTGCTACTCAATACTGAAGTGTTAAATTGTAGTCTTTCTGTTTGTAATACTATTCATCATGTATTTGAATCCCACTGGGGGGGAGAGGGTATTAGTTTCCCTATGATTATGGATATACTTGGTGTTGTAAATGCTGAAAAGCATGAAACCAAAGTTATGCAGGTCTTCCGAATCAATACCTCCAAATACAGAAGGATAGAACTATGTCACCTTATAGATTTTTACCATTAATTATTTGAATATCTAACGGATACCATCCAGGAAGTTTGTATTGGCTTAAGTTAACAGCCAATGAATTCATGAACCGATATTTTGTCTAGGTTTAATCAACGTTAGTCTTTTTTTAACCATATCTTGAGATGGATGATTGTTGCATGTGAGCGATAACAATAAGGATCCAAAATCTTATCAAACAAAATGATATCTCTGTTAAGTATTTTTATTCACTTAACTGCTTCATTGCTTCAAAGGCCTGTATGGTCATATATATATTCTAAAAACATTCAATAGAAATTCTTAAATCATTTGATTTGAAATGTTTCATTCACTCAAACAATTATTTTCATGGAATAGTTGAAGTTAGATATTAACACCGTTGAACGCCGGCTCAATGGTCTACTGGTTAAGCGCTCGCATGCAAGACTGATAAGTCCTGGGTTCGATTCTCGCGGATGGCGAGATTGTGGGTGCGCACTGCTGAGGAGTTCCACAATAGGACGAAACAGCCGTCAAATGCTTCCAGGTTTTCCGTAGTGATCTAGTTTCAACTGGTTCATGATCTCAACCAGTGAAACTATATTTTTTCAATTTTCCAAATGAATATGATTAAACTACAGTTATACAATTACATCTGTTACCTTCAATAGAGCATAGGCTACCGACCAGCATTCTCCAATCCTTATACTATATATTTTATTCAATACTTAAACAATCTTGTTTTGTCAATCACCTTATTTTGATAATCCTTTTACACTGAATAATAAATTTCATTCAAAAGAACAGTAATGTAAACATTATTTTAAGAAAAAGAAGCCCATTTAGTAATGAATGTTAGTGAGATAAAACAAATGTTGTACAATTGGTAAATGAGCTACATTATGCACCATTATTATTTTCTTTTTTCAAAAATATAATCATGAATTTGAAAAAAAAGTATTTTTGATGTGGTTAAGCCAATCTAGTTTTTGTTTAATTAGTTTATTAACTTCTATAAAACAAAAGAAAATAATCATAAATTTGTTCAATAGTTCCAATATGTTCAAAAAATGAAAATAAACTAGAAAGGGAATGGGATACATTTGTTGGTGGAAGATTCAAATACTTACAGTTTATGTGTACCTGTAACGTACATACATATTTATGTAAACATTTGATTAGAATATTTATAATTAGTATCATTAAAGATGTGAATATTGGAACATTGAATCACTTGTTTTAATGACTTATTTTCTAATTTAAATTAAGGATTAAGTGACATTTGAAGAGAATAGTGTATTAAGCCATTATATAGGGAAAAAATGGAAGAAAAACTATATATAATCCATAATCTTCCTAATTTATATTCGACCAGAAATGTAATTTGATTAGAGCTTGTTTCTTTCTTCTTTATAAATAAAAAAATAATAAGCATTCAGTCAATTCATATAATTACTGACATTTGTGTAGTACAAGTTTCTTAAGACGATCCAGTTCTAAGATCGTTGTTGTATAATTTTATGCCGTTAATATTACACACATATTGTGGAAATTCTTAGAAATTATTTATAAAAGTTTATGATCCGATGAAGGATCGAAACAACGCAGTTTCAAGATGAAAAACCCTGATTAAAAATCTTGAAAAACTTATAAACTTTATAAAACAATTATATGCATCTTTTAACTTTTGGTGATAGATGATTAATTTTGAAAGTCTGTGTATTCAATGCCTAATTAAACAGCAGTGTCGTTCATGCTCGTCATTATTTAGAACTCTTTTAGGAGTTCATGTATATGATTTTGTCATAAGTCAAACAAATAACACCAAAGTTTTATAGCAAGAATGATATAATTGAAATTTACTGAATTGAGTTAATTCGCTATATTGTACAATATCGATTTTGACCGTCTCATCGATTTATGATGAGTTCACAGAAGACAGTTATTAATCAGAATTCTAATCTCTAATTCATTAACATTTCATAGTCCGACTTCTGTAAGTTAGTATCTATTAACTTTGGTATGTAGCAACTAATATGTTATCTTCGAGACACTGATATAAAACTCATTGTTCTTTAAGTGTATTGATAAGCATATGGAATGATCGTGCAAACACAGATTGTACATGTTAGATGGTTGAAATTAACTAACATTAAACCTTTCTAGGTACATGTTACATATTAGTTAGCACTCATCATCAGAACCTCTTCAATGTTCAAGGAGCTAATGATCCCATTATGATTGCGACTCACGTTACTTAATATCATGAAATTCAATAAAATCGAAAAGTACAAATACACTTCAATACTTACTATTTAGCTTTATATTTTTGATCATTGAATGATCTTAGTTAAATAACCACTAAAAACCAAGTACTACATTCTCAGTATGAAACTTCTTGGTAATGTTTATCCACTATTCAACTGAAGTCGAACTCAGGATCTACAGGTCTCGCAATGTGTGTCATTAAATTAGCACCAAATAGACTACAAAACTCAACAATCTCTATAAACCCCCTTATGCTACTTAGTCATCAATCAGTGTACAATTGTATTTCATTGAAATCTGTTTTTAAGATTTTATTTATTATTTTCATGTAACCATAGTCATTAGAAATATCTGTAATTCAGTTGACGAATGTTTATTGCTGGAAGAATATTAATGATTTCACACATGAATGAGTTAATTATTTAAACTGAACTTACAATTTGGTATTCTATCATTTACTGAAGTAGATAAATCTAGTCCAATTTCTTTCAATGATAAATCTGTATTCAAATGTTTCAAATATTCTTGTGGATTAATGTTTACATTTGTAATGGTATTGGTGCTGATAGTAGTATCAGTAGTATTAGTAGTAGATATAGTCTTATCAGTAGTTAATTTGTTTATCATATGAAACATTGAAGAATTACATGATATTGAATGAGAAGTTATTGGTTCGTATGTTATTGATGAAGGTGTAGTAGTCTCTGATTGAATACATTGTGATCTGTTATGCATTGATAAATCGATAGCCTCTTGTTGTTGTTGTCGTTCTAACTGTCCACTCATTTCGAATTGATGTGACAATGTTTTATTCATTGAAGTTAGACCTTGTAATTTCTTTCTACCAGTTGAATAATTATATGATCTTGTTGATAATTGATTTACATAATGGATTGAATTAAAATTTGTTGAAAACAGTCCTTTTTTTGATTTGTTCATTCGTTTTTTAAATAAAATTGTCGATTTATTATTTTGTTTACTGTTTGAACGATTTAATTTAATATGAGTTTGATTTGAGTGTCGTGAACGACGATTATTATTATCATTAATTAATGATGTTGATGTAGTATTGATAGTATGTCGAAGATGTTGATCACGCGATTGGTGATGATGATGATGAGGATGATTTTGATTATTATTTCTAGACTTTCTAGCTCCACCAGTTGCACCTGGACTTACACTGCCTAAAATGTAAAAGTGTATAATCACTACTTTGTTAAATATATTAAGTAGTATATATACATCTTGAGAAAAAATTTATCTATGATGTGATTTACAGTCTTGCATAGGACAAGTTATTAATCGAGTAGATTTTAATTGAATTGAATTGAACCTTAAATAAATCTAGTCGGATAACACTATGTTGAATGTGATTGTTTATTCGATCGTATATGATCAACATATCAGTCATTTGAACATAAATATTTTCTACATACTTCAGAATTTAATTATTCAACGAATAATTCAGTTCGTATTTCTTATTGGCATTTATACAACATTTGAACTTAGTAAACAAACATTTTGTATGATACTAGCTTAGATACATATTTCCTGCAATAAACTAGCACTCTTCTTTATAAGCTATGCAACTAACCATGCTCTACAGGGTATTGTCTTCTTATTCTTATTTCAAATTCTCTGCAATTATGTACAGCTTCTTTGAATTCCTCGTGTTTGAAGTTGTTTTGATCAAATGTAATCAACTAACATTTCATGTCTGTTCATTATGGATATAAGAAAAATAATATTTGAAATATAGAAATATTCATGTAGCTTAGAATGGATCAGATCCTCATAATATATATTATCACCTGTGAAAGGACTCAGCAACAGAGTGCCTTAAATTTTGATGTTAAGTGGCTAGATTCTATTGGTTGAAGTTTATAAACCTAGATTTGTGAGATTACCGGTTTTTGATCTCACTAGCTTTCTTTCTCTCTCTCCATTTAGATCATGGGTATCCTTTGCTGACAAGTTGCGATTAATACAAAATCTAGGTTAAACAGAACTTTTTTTACCGATTGACTTCAAACAATTAACATTTAAATTCACTTGTTATTGTTTACTTGAATGTTCCCAATGAGGTTCACGACTGTAAGTGATCACTCTCTTGTTAGTATAAGTGTATACTGTGCGTACTGCCTCGATATTGCCTTAATTCACAAGCATTATGAGCAAAGATGGATAATGAATTGCAGTGGAATCCAGTTTGATGTACGTTTTTTCCTAGAGTCTCAAAATGAACATCATTTCTGAGATGCAGGTAAATCCATCTGACGAGTCCTAAATAGGACGAAACTCACGTTATACTGGATTTCACTGCTAGCCACTATCTATCTCTAATTAACATTTAAATCGCATCTATAAAAAATTCACTTTACATTATAATATTTAATCTCATGGTCATACTTTATGTAATCACATCATTTCAGTTATATGACAATCATCCACTAGTCGCATGGACAGACGGTTGGACAATTTCATGAAATTATTAAAATTACAAAATTAAACTATTTGATATCAATTCAACCTTCTGAAAAGTTAATTTCTTGCATCTAGACTTGAAACTCTTGAATTCACATCTCATTGATGAACACTACCTTGGAGTCATATATATTAAAACGAAACAATCATCTAAACACATTCTAGTTTTCAAAAGTTATTTCTTTATCATTTGAATGATAATAATCCAAATAATCTACATTGAATAGATTGAAAAAATGTATTTGTTTGTCAACTCATCTTCAGCATAACTGAATGCATTTACTGACATCATTTAAGTTGACATTAATTTCATAACTAATTATGATAACTATTGAAATAAGCAAATGTTAACACAATTTTTGTTTGCAATATGTCAACATGGTAAACGTTTACTGTAATAAGAATCTATGAATAAATAAAGAGGTATGTATGGGAAAAGTTTTGATTGCTCCAGTTATTATTTATTACCATTTAACGATGACATTGGGATGTAAAGAATTTGTTTATTTCTATACTAGGCATTTCAACGACAAGGTCATGTATACAGGACGTACACTCAAACACACACACTCACACATACGTACATGTATATACATGTAAGAGATCAAAATTAAGTAAACATTTTGATTAACAGGTGAACATTTGAAAAATTTACTGATCTAGTAATTTAATGTGATAATTTTTTGGGGGAAAAAATGGGAGGATCCAGTTAATGGTTAATCAATTCGATGGTATATATGTTTATTTCAATAAACGGTTGAAACGAAACTGACATTTATATATATATGCTCACATACTTTGACTGTGAAATGTTTGTCTCAATTAAATGGTCTCACTATTTCATACCTCATTAAACATAAGAGAAATAAAAACGAAATGGGCTGTTATGGATTGACAAGGTTAATTTGTCAAATTTAAAAAGGGAAGAAGGTTAAAAGAAAGGATGTGCTTCACTTATGAACTATAATATTGAGTACCTATTAGGATATAAGATAAAAATAGAAAATGTAAAATAAGATATTTGAAGTGTTTTAACTGTGACGATAAAAGTAATATTAATGATGGTTCTATACAATTTGAAAGTAGTTCTTATCAGGAACCGATGTCAGTCAGTGGATAACCGAAACCCATTGGTCACTGTAGTAATTTTTCCCCCTAGTTTATGAGCATCAAGTTACCAATAAATACATCGGATGGACTCGTACATTCTTAAGTTTTTTTACCAAAGAACACACTATTATTCACAAGCAGAGATGCGTAGTGAAAGACAGTGGAATCCAGGACGCACGTTTCGTCCTATTTGGGATTCATCGGGCGGATATACCTGCATCGTAGAGTTGATGTTCACTATGGGACTTCTTTGCTTATAGTGCTTATAACTTAAGGTAATATCGAGGCCACCTGTACAGGATGCTCATATGCCAAAAGAGACTGATCCATTGCAGTCCTAAACGTCAATGGGAAGATTCAAACAACCAATATAAAAATTATTCAGTACTATTATTCAGTCACTAACTTTAAACACAATGATCCCTATTTTGTGAAATAGAAAGTCTTTTTGTAATATCATCATCGGCTTACTGCCGAATGATGTATCTGGTCACCGATGCATACCTATTTGTGTGGTATAAATGATTGAAAATGTGAAATAGCACGCATTCTTAATCATTTACAAGTTTCCTACTTGTTAAAATTAATCTTTAAAATAGCTTCATGATAATATTTCTCACTAAAAGTACCAGTTTCTTTGTAGATACCGAGACACATTAGTTGTAAGTGACAATTATTATGAAACTTATGTCAAATAATGTCTGCTATTGACTGCTTTCAATTGTCAGATATCAACATGATCTTAGAGTTGATTTTAATTTCACATGTACTTTTTGTTATATCAAAAGAACTCTCAAAGAGAGCACCATTATTACTTCCAATACTAACAAATCTTTTAAACATTTAATTTTATTGATTTATTAGTGAGAAATGACTTCGGTTTTATTGGGGTTAGGGTTAGGGAGATAGTAACTCACTGAAGACAATAGTGGATATGTCGATCAGTTCTGTGGTTTAGTTGAAGTTAGACATCAAGACTGTTGGATGCAGGCTCAGTGGTCTAGAGGTTATGCGTTCGCGCGAGACACCGAATATCCTGAGTTTGTGTCATGCGTGTAGGTTAGTGGATGCGCACTTCTGAGAATTCCAACACTAAGACGAAACGATCGTCTAATGCTTTCAGGTTTTCCATGGTGGTGTAGCTTCAATTGACTCATAATCTCAACTATCAAAATTACTATAATATCCCAAAAACTCCTTCTGATATTAGTTCGTTTATATTGAAATAAAAGTGACCATTTACAATGATACTTCGTTTTTGTCGGTTTTTTGTTGTTGTTGTTGTTGTAATTACTCAAATATTCACAAGTAATCATCTTTGAAATATATTCTTCAAAATTCTAACTGAAGACAATCAAGCCAAAAGTGAAAGAGATTAACATCGATTAACTTCCGATCCAATTGTTTAAATATGTTATGCTTGTCATGTGATTTGAGGGTTCGAAGTTTGATTTCGATGATTAGTGAAGATATTTGTTGTGTTCTCTAAATTTCAATAACCATTTTTTGACCTTCTTTATAGTCTCTCTAGTAAATACATAAAATGCGGTCATAAAAATCTTATATTGAAGAATATATTGCATGAGATTTGTAGCTCAGGTGAATGATTTTGATGGAGTTTTGTTCTCTGTGCTTGATGTTTTGGTCGTGGAGCTTTCATCGTTCCACGACCAAAACATCAAGCACAGAGAACAAAACTCCATCAAAATATGTTTCATGACAATAATATCCTCCACAAAATACACCCTAATTTATAGCAATTCACTTGATCCATCAATGTCTTTTCATCCAAAATATTTCTAGAAGTCTTTAGAAATAAGATTATTCAACTCTGCTATCCTTTCACGAATTTTTCACATCATACTATCCAATCTGAATAGTTTACTAGAATCATGTTCATGAGTTATTGCCACAAATAAACTTTATTAAGAATTATACAGAAAGCAAATTGAATACTGAGATACACAAAAGACAGTATATGTTTGATTTTACGTATCAACATAGCAAATTGATGAACATTATGGATTTATGTCATTTTTTTTCGTTTTCACAGACCTTATTATTCCATGAATCACTTAAGAGCTTATCTCTCATTTTATCAGTAACCCTGGAAAGACGAGGTGATTGTATTCTATTTGATTTTAGTGTACTGAGATCATTACACGCCATTGTATTAAAAAATACAGTTTTAAACATAATTACATTAAGTAGAAACCGATGATGTGATCCAGAACAAAAGTGAAAGCATGTTGATAAAATTATCATTCCTATATTATGGGAACAAAACTCATATCCACAAAATCCCTTCTGATATTAATAAAGTATTTGACCGGCATGGATTAATCATTGACTAGTTACCAATGCCTTGTTTGCCTAGTTATTAGTACCCATCGAATTCTATCGATTAAATTGTAGTCTGACCAATAGTCTAGATGATGTGACATCATTTGAATTATGTTTGGATGTTAAATAATTAGAGACAATCGTCAGGGTCCTTATTAGACTTAGATTTCTTGCATACTAATGTTGGACAACAAGAAAAACCTGCAATCTTAAGAAAACTGGTAACCATTGTAAGCTTTTAACCCTCGTCATATTAGTTTCCCAGTTCGAGACATTACCGTTTGGATACTAGGACCAAGGTTAATCTTTTGTAGGACCAAGTTATTTGCATGAATTGATCACTGAATAATGAGTGACCAATATCTTGTTTATCAAGTCGTTTATGTTAATTTGATTCTATCTATTAAACTGAAATTGTATCGTAAATGATAAATCGGACTCATTTAATTTTCGAATTCATAGGTATTTGATGTAATTACCACATTTTGGCTTATTAGTACGTAGCCACACACACACACACACACGCACATACGTCTATGCACATAAATGTGCACATTTATAGACTTGTAAAAATGTGTACAGATGATTGTATCGTTGATTGAGTTAAGAATCAGGTTGATTAACTTTAGTTTATCTGAATAAGAACTATCATCAATCAAGAAAAAAGTAATACAATTTTATGTTTCATGTATCCGTTTAATTATGACAAATAATAATCATAATCTATGTTACGCAATTGTAAATTTCACATTATTAGCCATGGAAATAATATAATGGACTATATGAGTTATAAAATTATACATATATTCAAATGATGTAATTTAAATGTTTCATTCATTGATGATGTGCAAATGAAATCAAGTGAATCTTGTTTAGAAAAACAAAAAAAGGACGCATTTATTTAAAACATGACTTGTGTTAATTCATTATTCCTAATTTCATGATGTTAATAAAAACCAACTGATTGTATGATTAGAAGATAGTGAAAAGAATAATAGAAAAAGAAACCTTAAGTTTTCTTTACCTAAACTAATTTATAACTCTACCTTAATGAGTTATAGAAGTTCAAATATAAGATTTATTAGTAAACTGAATGAAACTTTATAAGCAAAAATGAATAGTAGCTAGTAGTGGAATTCAGTATGACGTGAGTTTCGTCCTATTTAGGACTCGTCAGATGGATTTACCTGCATCTCAGAAATGATGTTCACTCTGAGACTCTAGGACGAAACGTGCGTCAAACTGGATTCCACTGCAATTCATTATCCGTCTTTGCTCATAATGCTTGTGAATTAAGGCAATATCGAGGCAGTACGCACAGTATACACTTATACTAACAAGAGAGTGATCACTTACAGTCGTGAACCTCATTGGGAACATTCAAGTAAACAATAACAAGTGAATTTAAATGTTAATTGTTTGAAGTCAATCGGTAAAAAAAGTTCTGTTTAACCTAGATTTTGTATTAATCGCAACTTGTCAGCAAAGGATACCCATGATCTAAATGGAGAGAGAGAAAGAAAGCTAGTGAGATCAAAAACCGGTAATCTCACAAATCTAGGTTTATAAACTTCAACCAATAGAATCTAGCCACTTAACATCAAAATTTAAGGCACTCTGTTGCTGAGTCCTTTCACAGGTGATAATATATATTATGAGGATCTGATCCATTCTAAGCTACATGAATATTTCTATATTTCAAATATTATTTTTCTTATATCCATAATGAACAGACATGAAATGTTAGTTGATTACATTTGATCAAAACAACTTCAAACACGAGGAATTCAAAGAAGCTGTACATAATTGCAGAGAATTTGAAATAAGAATAAGAAGACAATACCCTGTAGAGCATGGTTAGTTGCATAGCTTATAAAGAAGAGTGCTAGTTTATTGCAGGAAATATGTATCTAAGCTAGTATCATACAAAATGTTTGTTTACTAAGTTGTAGCTGACTGACTGACTGATATTCCCAAAGTGATTATATTTGGAAATATAAATCACATTGTATTTAAAAGAGACCTGAAGGT